CCCCTCCTCCCCTTCCCCCTTTAATGGAATTTAATTCCATTTTTACATTTTCTCATATTTTTTTCCTTTTTCCTTATTCCCCTTTCCCTATCTTTCTCACTGTCCCTACACCTTCTGTCCTTTTCTTCCTATTTGCTAATTGTCCCTTTAGGATCTTGAGTACTATTTTAGTCTTTCACACTAGAGAAACTATTCGGTATTTGCATATGTGTGACTTATTTATTTCACTTAGGAGTATTTCCTCAAAATGTACCCATTTACCTATGAATGAATCTACTTTCTCATTCTTTATGGCTGAGTAGTATTCCATTTTATGGAAAAACCACATCTTCTTTATCCAGTTTCCAATTGATGGGCAGATGGGCTGTTTCCAAGATTTAGCTATTACAAACTGTGCCACTGTAAACATGGGTGCGCATATATCACTGTGGTAATCATCATAATGTATTCTTGCAAAAATAATCCAACCTATATCTGATTAAGCTTCTAGACTAATTACCTGTTTGCAGGAAGAACAAAAGACAGAGGAACATACTAAAGATACCATTAGAGACACAGTCAAAAATTCACTCTTCCAGAAACTACAAGATAAACAACAGGTTGCTCTAACAAATTACAAGGGACAAAAAAGAGAGGAAACATATAGATTTAAATAAGATTTAAGACTAGAGGAGAAATGATCTGCTCACGTATTTGTTCAAAAATAATGTAGGGGTGAGTAGGGTATAAATACATAAAACAAAACAAGCTCTAAGTAACAATTATGAAAGCTTCACTATAGGCATCGGGTTCATTTCTTTATATTGTTATATAGGTTTGAAGTTTTCATTATTACAAAGTATCTTTTTTAAATACCATTTACAAAACCTTTTTAGGTCAACAACCTGGGAACAAAGCTAACAAGAATATTTAAGACATTTACAGGATAAATTATTAAATTTACTGAGACACTAAACACAAATAGAGATACATGTTATGTTCATGGACTGAAAGACTCAATATTGTAGAGATGTCTGTTTCTCCCACCTTGATTTTATCAATGTAATCCCAACAGTTTTGAAACTGTCCAGCTCACATTAAAGTTTACATGGAAATGCATTAAGTTCCAGAAGTAGCCAAGATGCTCTTGAAGAACAAGAAAGGAAGTCTTGCTCCACCAGACACCAAGACTTATTATAAAGCTATCATAATTAAGATAATAAGGCATGGGTTTAGAGATGCTTAAACAAATCAAGTGAAGAGAATAGAGAACCCTAAACCACTCCAATGCTGAAAAGGATACTTGTTATGTGGCAGAAATAGCACTGTACAGTGTCATGCTGGGGCAAGTGGGTGTCCATAATGGGGGAAAAAAGAAAAAAAAACATAAACAAAGTTGGCTCTAGCACATTAAAAACCAAAATGTAAAAGGTAAAACTGTAAACTTTGAGAAGGTAATATTTAATATCTTCAAAGACAGATTTCTTAAGATAACAAAAATAGTTCCCAGAATAAATCTAACTACCATTAAAAACTAGTAAGTTATGTCTGTCACAATATACTATAAAAAGTGTATTAAGCCGCAGAGTGGAAGAAGATACCTGCACCACATATAACTAACAAAGGTATAATATCCAGACTGTATAAAGAATTCCTACACATCCATGAGAAAAAGACAACTGAATAGGAAAATGATCAAAAGATTTGCTGTTTTAAACACTTTACAAATAGGAAATCCAGTGATACTCAGTCTCATTAGTAATCAGTAAAATGTAAACTAAAAACACGATGGTATTATAATGTGCACTATAAAATTAAGTATTCGATATTTACACATGTGTGACTTTATTTCACTTAGGAGTATACCCTCAATATGTATCCATTTTCCTATGAAGGAATCTAATTTCTCATTCTTTATGGCTGAGTAATATTCCATTTTATAGAAAAACCACATCTTCTTTATCCAGTTTCCAACTGATGGGCAAATGGTCTGTTTCCAAGTTTTAGCTATTACAAACTGTGCCGCTATAAACATTGGTGCACATATATCACTGTGGTATGATTCTTTTAATTCTTTTGGAAAGATACCCAGCAGAGGGATAGCTGGGTCAAATGGTACCTCTAGTCCTAGTTCTTTGAGATATTTCCATATTGATTTCCACAGTGGTTGCAGCAGCCTGCACTCCCACCAACAGTGGAGAAGGGTTCCTTTCTCCCCACAACCCCGCCAATATTTGTTATTGATTGATTTCTTGATAGCAGCCATTCTTTGTGGGGTGAGTTGGAATCTCAGTGTTGTTTTCATCTGCATCTCTCAAATGACCAGCAATGTGGAGCATTTTTTCATATATTTACTTGCTGCTTAGGGTTAGTTTCTCTGGTGTGAAAAACTGTAATAGTACATAAGATCCTAATGAGATAATTGAACATGTGAAATAGGACGAAAAGGGCTAAAGGTGTAGGGAAAGTGGGAAGGGTAGGGAAAGGTAATAAGGGAAAAGAAAAAAATATAACAAAATGAAAAAGTGGAAATAAAGTGTTTGTAAATAGGCAGGGGAGGAGGGGGTGAAGGGAGGGCAGGGACAAGGGGAGCAAAATGAGAACCAAGACCTGTCATGTAAAGGCACAAGATCCCAATGATGAATGTAACTGTACTGTGTACCTAAAATGTACCAATAAACTCAATGAGAAAAAAATAAATAAATAAAATTTTAAAAAAAAGAATAGTCTTTATGTGAGTGACTTGAAAGGTTGTGATGATTATGTTCATGTTTTAATTTAAACTCTTCAAATTAATCATTTGTCTTATATCACAAAACTATACATTAATTTTGGGGGGTTTTCCCTCCTTCTTTGTATTCTAGGCGAGTAGCCTGCATTGCCATGGAGAAGACCAAACAAGAGCAGCAGGCCAGCTGTACTTGGTTTGGCAAGAAAAAGAAGCAGTACAAAGATAAATACTTGGCAAAGCACAATGCAGGTAAGGGAAAGCAGGTCTATTACAGAGACTGGATTTAACATCTCCAAGACCTAAGTAGATATAACATTTCCATTTGGTTGTCAGGGTTCTCTGTCCCCAAAATTCTACCCTATGAGATCTTTATCAGCTTTCAAAACCTTTAAGAAACCCCTACTCCAATTAATATATTGATTATTTACCAGTTATTTTACAAAGCTGAACTTTATAGGACACTAGACACCAGGAGTTATTTAAAAGCTATAGTATGGTTATTTCCAAATGCCATTTGTAAGTAGTATCCTCTGGAACTAAATGAACCCAACCCAACCCAACCATTTCTCCCCTGAGAAATGAGAGCTTGAAAATTTGCTGAGTCCCTAGGATTTGTACTTTCCTTGGTGAGACTGACCTCTGACCTAGAGCAGATAATCCATTCTCGTAGCTCCTCCCTGCCCTTGGAAATGGCCCCATGATGGGTATCTAAAGGCAAAAATGAACATAAAAACTGTGCTGCAAATGGTTTAGCAGTTGGTTTGAAAGGGGACAGATGAAATGGATACCAACTTGGTTAATCACTTTCTGTGACTTATCTTCTTCCTTCATGGCATTTCCAAACTCTTGAAAGACCAAGGATATTCATAGTATGCTTGTCTATATGGAAACTTGTATACAATTAAGTCAAGATGTTCACTTGTTAAAAATGAAACAAATACCAAAAAAGTGTGATCTGTTATTGCAACAGCATTCTCAGAAGACTCACAAGGTGTAGCTAAGCTAAAGGAGAATGCATGGTTATTTCAATAACTTCTTAATATGACTTATTTTATAAGGGACTTTTTCTGAAGAATTGAAGACCTTGACATTGGCATTAGATTAGTTCCCAAGGCTTCAGAAATAATTCCAAAAATCAAACATGTGGCTGAAAAAGTTCAAATGAATCCAATCATACATACCCAATTCCACAGTATAATGCTTCTGATAAATATGGAATGCCTCTTTCTCTGTAGAATTGATGTTCATAAGGAAAAATTACTTAGGAACTGTAACTTCTTATTTCTCAATCATATATTAAAAGTAAACATATGAAAATGCTGTATAATGCAGAATGAATGTGAGTGGCCATGTGAGCTAAGTTTGAATGGTTTAGTTCTGTGAGGAATTTTTCCTTTTGCATAATTTCATTGTCCCACACTTTTGCTTCTGATAAAAGGTATCATTTGTTTCCAATTATGTACCACTACAGCATACTAGTCTCCTAATGCCTTTTTATTTATTTTTTTATAAAGGGAAGAAATAAAACAGACTAGTTAAATATAATCTAGCAAGCACTAAATGTAAATATTCAAGCAGTACTATTTGAAATAATACCCTGCAGTATCAGCAGAATGTTGCTAAACTCAAGACATCACTGTTTGTCGCCAGGTCTCCCTAGTTGCCTCTATTTCTATCAGCTTCTAAGATGGGGCCGGGGATTTAGCTCAGTGGCATCGCGCCTTCCTGGCAAGTGCAAGATCCTGAGTTCAGTTCCCAGTAGTGCAAAAAAGAGAGAGAACACAGCAGCTTCTAAGAGTCTAACTATCTAACAGGCCCATGAGGAGATGTGTAGACATTATCTAAATATTAAAAAGTATCTCTCTGGGGCCAGGGATTTAGCTCAGTGATTCTGCCTCCTACCTCGCAAGCAGAAGGACCTGAGTTCGATCTCCAGAAAAAAAAAAAAAAAAAGCATCCCTCAAAAAAAATTGCCTCTCAACTTGTAATTGTTGTAATATTAAATGATATGTAGTTATAGATGGCATTGAAAAGAAACCTACGAAAACAAAGAAATGTCTGGTTAAAGCTATCAATACATCATTAGTTTCATACTGTACCAACAGAGGGCCTGTAGAAATTAGTGTGTAGTTTGCCAGTATTCTTTAATTGAGCTCTGAGGAAAAATAAGCAAACTGATTGGAAAATTAGGCCTCTGTAAAGGTTGATTAAAAACTCAGAAGAATCAGTAGCCATTCTGGTATCCATTGTTTTCTTCAGTTCATTTTTTCTATTCTTGGGCGTCACTGATTTTCTGTTGTCCCCATTCTCTGGTTCCTGTTGGGTGGTTCACAGTGGTCCTGCAAATGCAGCTGCCAGCTTAATAGTCTACCTGGGACAGGACCAGGAATTAGCACACCTCAGGATGGTGACTTGGACAAATCACTTCACTCCTGTGGGCTTCAAAATAAAGGAATGAGCCAGGCCTAGGATTTAGCTCAGTGGTGCCTCTTCTGCCTCACAAGCACAAGGTCCTGAGTTTGATCCCCAGTACTGGAAAATAAAATAATTTTAAAATAAGGGAATAATATAGATAATCAAGGAGATCACTTCAAAATCTAAAATCCAGTGAATCTAAGGTTCCTTTATCACTGGGCCTAAAAAAAGGATGCTAGTTAAGGAAGCTGAGTACTCTTGTACTGTCCCATCTTGCAGGCTTTAGCTCTTTGGTAAACACAGTGCATCAAGATTGAAAGGTGTAACCCTCAATATAGAAGGCAGAAGTCTTAACAGGGGCATCAAAAATTGCTTTTTTTTCTCTGTCATGTGACATAACACTTCCTATTCCAAACCACTGATCTATCCAAGTTCTTGTAAAGTTAAAGAAAGGCAGGGTCAGGGGGTGGAGGCTCCTCCTGCCTCCACTTTTTTGTTGTCTTCAGCATTTTCCTAACCAATGCTCTCTTCAGGGATTAGAGTCTTTTTTGTCATGCTTAAGGGATTGGGCTACCTCTCAGCATTTGTCTTTGCACTTGAGCCCTCTTTTGAAAGAAAGTTTGAGCTCCTTAGAAGGTCTCTGCAGAGCTGCTTAAGTTTCTCTGCAGAGCTTCATGTTTAGGCTTAACCTGCGATTCCTCAAAATACCATTGTTTGTGTTCCCTCGCCCACAGAATAATCACTCACGAGCTCCCCTTTTCGTTTGTGTGGTCATAAGAAGGTGGACAGCCTTCTTCCTGGACTTTCTGAAATGCTCTTGCCTGACAAAACCTCACATCCCTTTCTGTCACCATCTCTTAAGGTTTCTCCCACTTCATCACTCAGCTTTCCATCTTGTTTATTAAGAACTCCAGGAAACCCATTTGCTTAGTGGCTACCATTATTTTACAGAGGATCAGATTGTCGGGCAGGTAATTCAGATATTTTAACAGCTTTTAGCTGTTCTGGTTTTAGCTAGGATAAAATAGCATTCTAACAATTTCCCATATAAAGAATTGCTCTAAAAGTGAGAAAACTATACTATTGACCTCTATCGGTAAGACAGGTACTTTGAAAGCTTGAAAATATCATAGTCTTTCATGCTAAGAACTAACTAGCCAGATCAGCTCAAACTGTATTTCTAAACTATTTTCCTGGCTATTCCAAAAGTTGGTTATAAAATACAGTATAGTCTTTGTTCTTCCTGTGGTGTGCATAGTAAATTAAAATAAAGCCACATGTGCCGGGCACAGCGGTGCACGCCTGTAATCCCAGCACTCAAAAGGCTGAGGCAGGAGGATCGCTGCAAGGTGCTGCAATACCAGCCTGGGCTACATAGTAAGTTTCAGGGCAGTCTGATCTACATTGTGAGACCCTGTCTCAATAAATAAATAAATGCCATATGTTTTGTTTCCTGTTCCAAGTCTTAAAGAATCCATCATATGTATTAATGGCAAGATCCAAACATTATCATCAAATTTTTAGAGGCTTGTATTTGTGGTAGAAATAAAGGATGGGAACTTTGCCAATATTTAGAACTTATGGAAACAATACCAGAATTAATTATTTCCATTCCTATTACTAAAGAATTCCACATATCTAGTTAAAGCAGAATTCTGTGGCAGCCTGTTAGATTTGTAAATTATGCACACATACACATATACACACACAGTGTTAAAATAACTTTATTGCCAGGCACAGTGACATATACCTGTAGTCTCAGCTATTCAGGAGATTGAGGCAGGGAGATCATTAGTTTGAGGCCAGCCTGGGCAACTTAACAAGGCTGTATCTCAAAATAAGAAATACAAAAGGGCTGGGGATGAAGTTCAGTGGTAGAGTGCTTGCCTGGCATGTACAAGGCCCTAGCTCCAATCCCTAGTACCACAAAATAGTAATAATAATTTTATACAGTACCATATTTGAAAGTCAGATAGTTTAACATAAAACTCTGGGTTTCAGACTTCTTTGGAAGAACAGAGAATGTGGGAACAGTGTGCCACTTCCTTTCATAGGGTCGCTGGGCTGTTCATGTCCCATTTAGATGGACCTTCATTTTCCAGTGCCAACCATCCCATTCACCCGTTTGTGAGCCTGGCCCACTTCATTCAACTGTATTAGCTGCCTGGCCAACACAGGCATTGAGCTTACACTCCTGACCAGCACTACCAGTGTACAATCTTTGTTTCACTTGGGGGTTTTTAGATTTCAGTATTTGAAGATCTCAACCTTTCAAACTGAGACAAGGCTTCAGAGTTAACTTTTTATGGAAAAATATTCAACCAGGAAGCATGTATGTAAATACTTAAAAGAAGTGTCTAGAATGTTGAGTAGCTTGCCAGAAAATCAGAGAAATGTAATCAAACTGTGCTAGACAGTATTTCTGAATCCTTGGGAATACATTTGATTATGGTGTATACAATATCACAACAAATATATTTTCTACAATACATAAAAGTGACATGCATTTGGTGCAAAAAACATTTTCATGGTGTTAGAAGAACTGTATTCTTAAAGCACTGAGATTCCTCAGTCCAAAGACTTCCGAAAGTCAGTTTTAGATTAACTTAATAATGTAAGTTTTTTTAAATAAGAAGGTCTTCATTTTTTTAAATGTGAGAGCCCTGCACAGTGAGATTTAAATATCCCAAAATACTCTTACTTATAGACATACATAGGAACTTATCTACAACTATTCATAGGTGTGCTTAAATTGCACTAAATACTAAAAATTAGTACTTTCGACTTTTAAAACCTATCCCTTTTTTTTTTCCTTGAGTACAAAGAGCTCTAAAGACAAAAAGTGGCCCAAGCCAGGCCTGGTGGCACATGCCTGTAATCCCACCACTCTGGACGGCTCAGACAGGAAGATCACAAGTTTGTGCTCAGACTGGGCAACTTAGCAAGACCTTGTCTCAAAATTAAAAATACAAAAGAGGATGGGCATGTAACTCAGAGTACAGGCCCTGGATTCAATCCCCTGTACCACAAAAAAAAACTTTTTTTAATCTAAAAAACAGCCCTAACTCGCTATCCTGTTGGAATTTTTTTTAATAAAAATGTGGCTGGAGGTGGATGGAGCTCAATGGTTACATATAAGGCCCTGGGTTCTATCCCCATCACTACAAAAAATAGTAATAATGAAAGTAATAGGCACAAATGACTAGACATTGCAAACAATAGAGGAAAATACAAAGTGAAAAGCAAAATATTTCTATACCTGTGCTCTCTGCAGAGGGTTTTTTTTATAAATCTCCACACGAAATTTCTACACACATGTATATGCTAGTGTATACAATCCATTGGCTTTTATATAGGGATATGATTGAATTTCTATTAAAGTGAGTTTGTTTCTTAATGTTATTTATTTGCCTTGTGTTTAGAATATTGCATGATAAAGTTTATTTTGTGCATATTATACTTTTATTTTACTAATAAATGAAAAGCCATATTTCAATGACCCTGTGCATTTTTCACGCTGTCTCACTCCCAATGGCCTCCGTGCATGTAAGTAACCTGTGTTTTGACAGTTTCATTTTATTAAGTCCTTTTTTTATCAGCAAACAACTTAAGACCTTTAAAAATTCAGTCTTTACGTACTCTCCTAATTTTCCTGTATCTCTTATTTTTAAAAATCCTTTTTCATTGTTTCATAACCCTATATCATGTGGCAATTTCATTTAGACCAAGTAATCACTTCACGCTTCTCATTCATGGTTAAGATACCAGTGTTTAACATATCTGTTCATTTGTTTATGGTGTTGATTGTTAATATCTAACTCATTCTTAAGTGTTTTTCAAATATGGTGAGTCAGGCTAGGGATGTAGCTTAGTGGCAGAGCGCTTGCCTAGCATTTTCAAGGCTCAGGATTCATTCCCCACTAACTAAAAAATTAAAAGGACAAGTCAGTTCAGTAGGACAAGAGTACTAGAGTTCAGGCTCTATAGACGGAGAAGATGTATGTACCATTCAGAATGCTTGTGACATCATCATCTTGCTCTTTTGTGAGATGCCTGATTATTTTTCTATATTAAAACATATCAGCTTGTTGATACACTTCTCTCATAAGTATGTTTTTCTTGATGGAACTATCACTCAGAGAGCAGCAGGTACAAAAGCAATGCCATAAGCACTCCTGCCTTTATTTTTGCAACTCTCATCACTCCATTACCACTGCGACATGACCTGCTAGTTCTACTGCAGAGAGCTTTATATTCACTTTAGTTTTATAAGTGAGCCATTCTGAACACAGAAAAAATTTGTCAGGCTTTAGCTGTTTTGAGAGAATATGTTCTAAAGACTTTCAGTCAACCTTTGTGGAATCAAGTTACTAAGCACTAACCCTTGTTTTAACATGTCATCTTTCTTTTTATATATTTTTCATCTGTAAACCTAGCACTCAGGAGGCTGAGGCAGGAGGATCACTGTTAGTTACAGGCCAGCCTGGGCTACATAGTGAGCTCAAGGCCAGCCTGGACTACATAGCAAGACCCTGTCTTTAAAAGCCAAAAACAATATGTTTTGGGTTTTTTTTTTAGAATATTTGATACTTTCTGTTCATTTCCTGATCTATTGCATTCTAGAGTGTCTTATTTTGCATTATGAGGTTCTTTGCTACTGGGCAGATCATAAGTGTTAAGGACTGAGCTGATACAATTATTTGGCCATACTGTCTCCAAGAGCAGAAGCCCTTTCAACAATTAACCAAAGCATCTCAGATTTCCTTATGGCACCATAGAATCAGTTTTATTGAATTTATTTCAAGCTTTCTGAAATCCAGGGATAATTCTGTATTCTTTTAAATGGAAACTTCAGTGTGTGCCTGGCAACATTTGCATGTGACCATGTTTTAAAAATGCAATAAACATGGATACATGATTTTCACCTTCTTGGGAGAATTTTCAAGTGTGTGAGAATCAGACCATGTTGAACTTCAACAAAAACATTCACTCAGAAAACTTTCACACATTGCTTGAAATTGTTTCTGTAATTGTTCTTCTGTTGTTGAGAGAGAGGTTTCAGGGGAAAAAATATTTTTAAAGTATTTCTTCTCAGTCTGTAATAATTAGAGAGCTCCCCTTTTGCAAAGGTTTCTGACCTCAGACTCTCCTTCATGTTCTTTCCATTCTGACCTTCCTGGTGATCACACACAGCTTCCCACATAAAGGTGGACTTGGCCTCAGGGCCAGAGAAGCACGTTCCCTTATTTATGCACCCTAGACTCCCAAAGAACAGATACTCAGGTTTTGCTAAAACTTGTGAAACAGTTACAGAACTTGACTTTGAAAGAATATAGCATGCTAACTTCATCAACTCTATTGAAAAAAGGAACCATGACATTCAAAGCCAGCTGGCCATATATTTCTCATCCATCTGTAGAGGTGATCTAACTCGCCCCTCTTTTAGTTGGCTTTAGTTGCATTCATGATCTATTCATGTTGGTCACTGTCTATAGACATTTTTTTTAGTATTGCTGATTTCTTAGAATTGTAACAAATCTGAAGAGCATGTGATGTTGAATGAATGCATATGCTTTGTTGGATACTGCATGAAAAGTTATGCGGTATCCTTTAGAACTGGACTTTATGCATGTACTCAACATATCTTTGGATGCCCCTGGTTCTAAAGTGTATTTTCATGGGCTTAAAAATGAAATTTTTTCGCCTAAGGACTATATGGCTTAAATTACATGTGAACCATGTATCATAAATTCGATTCATATTTTAAAGACATGGTTTTAATATAATCCAGTTTCAGTAAAATTATAATTTACCTACATAAAATCGCCATCCTATGAATTTACCTTTCTTCTAAATCTTTGCATTTTAGTGTTTGATCAATTAGATCTTGTCACATATGAAGAAGTAGTAAAACTTCCAGCATTCAAAAGGAAAACACTAGTCTTATTAGGTAAGTTTGAATGTATAAATGGCTTGTTTATTCTTACCTTCAAAACCTCTTGCAGACATTATTAACAGCTGTCAATTTTAACATTCTTTTGAAAAAATGACACAGGTGCACATGGTGTTGGGAGAAGACACATAAAAAACACCCTCATCACGAAGCACCCGGACCGGTTTGCATACCCTATTCCACGTAAGCAATGGTTCAATCTCTCTTAATTCTATTTTTTCTGTTAATATTTTACATGACAATTTGATATGGTTTCTCATTACATAAGTAATAACTGTTCATTGTAGGAAATTTACAGTATCCAAAAAAGCACAACAAAGAAAATGAGTCAGTAATAATCCCCACCTCCGTCTTCCAATAATAGGTTCCCTTCTAGGTTTCTCTTAGTATAAATCTTTGTATAACATGTTTGTATTATATTTGTGGGGGTTTTTAGTATCAATGGACTTTCCATTATGTTTGTAACCCGGTTTTTCTAACAGTATGCCATAAACATTACCTAGATGGATTATTCTTCATAAAAGTGAGTTTTAATAGTTGTATCATTTTTCCTAATACGACAGTATTTCCCTTAATCATTATCTAAATGTTGACTTCTTAGTACTTTTAAAACCCAGTCAGTGGGCTATTAGTTGTTTACTATAAAGAATTTCAAATCTATAAGATTTTTAGTTCCCTTTACCTTTCTATGTCTTATTCTTAACTCACGTCCTGTTCATTTCCTCAACTGTAAAATTAAGTAAACTCAAGTTTGTAAGGAGGATTCGAGAGCATGTGTATGAAAGACTTAGCAGATGTTGGATAAGTATTAGCCATCTTACCACTATCATTTTATTACTTTAATTATTCTAAAGTTTAACATTTCAATCCCAAAAGTTCTCTGGCACCTAGAGCTTTGTTCAGTATGGAAAGAGCTAAAGGAGAATTTTTTTTAAGAACAACATGAGAAAACATCAGGATTGGCTCCTTCCTGAGACAAGGTCAACACCACTTTCTGTTATCTGTACACCTCAGAGACCCATGAGGCTTCATAAGATCACTCTTACTTACACAAGAAAAGTTTATCAAGTGTCATTTCAATTGGTGTTACTAGCGTTTTTTAGTAAAACACTTTAAAATGTTCTTTTAATTCTCCTTAGGACCAGATCATGAATACTGAAACATTGGCTAACATATTCATGTTTCTCTTCTCTCACACACGTGCCTTCTCTCTCTCCCTCTCTTTCTCTGTCTCTCTCCCCCACTCCTTTCTCTCTGTCCTCCTCTCCCTTCCTTCCCCCTCTCCAATAAATAGCCAATTAGCTAGATTGAGTTTTAAAACTTACCTTTTTTAACATCCATGACGTCTAATCTCTGAAATATTTAACCCCAAATGTATATAAAACATACATTTAACTACTGTGATGACTGAAAACAGTTCACCACTAATATATTATGACAGTTCTTCAACTTCTGATGTTCCTAGAGAAAGGGATCCTCTTTAATGTTCACAAAAGGGCTGTGTTTCATGTCTCACTGTCAGGCAGCTCTGATTTAATTTCATTAGTAAATAGACTAATAAAAGTGATTATATCTGTTTGTACCATCAGTGACACATAGCCGCCCACATGGTGGTTCAAATCAGCAGGGACATATTGAGTTGTCCATATGTTAATGTCCATGATACTTGGGAGTTTTAATGGCCTACCAGGAAAGGAGGAACTCCTGGGTGAATTGGGGCCTCATGTGCAGCAAAAAGAAGCATGAATTTGTTCTTACTTAAGGAAGGAAGGAAGGAAGCAAGGAGGACGGGAAGAATTTGAAATGGGGGAAGAACAAAAAGAAAGGGAGGAAGAAAAGAGAAAAGGAGATAAATTTAAAATCAATGCTCATGGCTCATCTAGAAAACCATTTGCAGAAGTGTGTTTTGCATATTCACATATACTTTAGTACAGTGATGGTGAACCTTTTAGAGCTTTCAGTGATACAAGCAGCCCACTGTGGTATGCGTGCCATAGGTTCGCCACCACTGCTTTAGTATATACTCATTTAGGTCAGGGGCTGGCAAACCTTTTCTGCAAAGAGCCAAGCAGTAAACATCTGAATCTTTGAAAGCCAACAGTCTCTGTCACAACTACTCAGCTTTGCCACTATAGCATAAAAGCAACCATAGACAAAATGTAAACAAATATGCATGCATTCTTCTAATAAAATTTAAAGACAGCAGGTCATATTTAGCCCATTTTCCACCTCCTGGTTTAGGTCTTTTACAGTAAGTATGGCCATGCCTTGTTAAGGTCATTGTGTTTCATCATGGTGTGCCTTTGCCTGTATTCTAACATTCTCCTTGTATGAGGCACTGTAGGTCAGCACCATCCAGTAGAATTTTCTTTGATGATAGCATTTGATATTTCTACTGTCCAGTACAGTAGCCATTAGGCACATGTGACCATTCAACCATGGAAATGTGGCTAGTGAGACTAAGGATCTGAATTTTAATTTTATTTAATTATAATTAACTTAAATTTAAATAACCACGTATAGATTTCCATTTTTTATTCTTCTTTCTTCCTTTCTTCTCCTCAAAATGAAACTGCATTAAGTTGTGTTAATCGTGGATCATTCCATGTCTTTCTCTTATAGTGACTCATGAAGAATGAACTATATCTCAAAACACTGAAATATTTACCAAACCAAACAATTAATTTGGCTGCTGTTTGGCCTGATGTACACAGACAAATATAGTTTCTAGAATTTGGTTCCTCAAAGATACTGGGTCTGGGAATGGGTATGTGAGACACACACTCATGGATCTGCAGCTTTTAAGAGATTGAGTTTGGGTAGGTCCATTGAGAACACAAGCTTATCAGCTCAGCCTTTTAAACCTCTTGTGACATACAACTTTGCAGATACAACAAGACCTCCAAAGAAAGATGAAGAAAATGGAAAGAATTATTACTTTGTATCTCATGACCAAATGATGCAAGACATCTCAAATAATGAGTACTTGGAATATGGCAGCCATGAAGACGCAATGTATGGGACAAAACTGGAGACCATTCGGAAGATCCACGAGCAGGGGCTGATTGCAATCCTGGATGTGGAGCCTCAGGTACTGCCCAGCCACCCTGAACCCCCTCCATGCTGCCTGTATGCTGATAAGCTCAGATTGTGAAATCCAAAAAGCCATCAGAAAGTTGTGGGTTGCATAATAATCCATACACTATGGCAAAGTATCAATAGTCAAGACTTTGTTCATTAACAAACAGTCTAGAATGCAAATTGACTAATGACTGGACTTAGTGCACACAGCATGTATTTAAGAAACAGATTATTCTCTTATGAGGTTTACTATACTCAGAAGCTCACTACAGTGTCTGATTGGGTCTGTGTCTGCCAGAAATCCTACAATCATCTGACCTCAGACTGAGACTCTGGCCCTTTTTTATCACAACAGCCACTTTTCTCTCTTGGTACAGCTCATGCTAGACCATCAGAGCATCTGCCAGCATCTTATATTAATCGCCAGGAGAAATCTGAAACACTTCACTAGCTTCTTAGAAGGCAGGTATAAGTGAGCCCAGATGTCATATGAAACAGATGCACAGACAGGGTGACACTCAGCCTGTGCCATTTCCATACCTGTGGACGATGCCTGAGCCCACGCTAAATCTAGGAGAGAGATGGAGAGCTTGGAGTGGACTCCGTGGGGAGCTGGATGCAGAGATGATTAAGTGATGTGTAAGTAAGTGTCATACAAGAAGCAATAGGAGTTAATAAAACTTGCAAAGTAGAAAGCTGAAGACAACATCAAAGGAACCGAGGGTGTAGCTCAGTGGTAGGTCATGGGCTTAGCATACTCAAGACTCTAGGTTTCGTTTCCAACACTGCAAAAAAAGAGAAAAAATGATGATACACTATGTTTTCATTTCTGAGCACTTAAAGCATATTAGGAAAGTCTTGGGAATGTAGACATCAGGAAAGGTTACAGGAGAGGCTGTGGGCACCCTTATGACTCCCAGGTTGGACATTTCTAAGATTGACCTGTACCCCAAATCCCTTATAACGTAAAATAGAATCAATACACCACCTGTTGAGCTGGTAGACTAGCTCCCCTCAGGCAGGCTCTGTTTATCAGAGGCTTACATGGCCATCTCAGGCAGGGCAGATCCCTGTTCAAGGCCACAGCATGAGACTTGGTCCTCTAGTCATCCCCACAGGGAAGAAAGAACCTGCATAGCCAGGTCTGTGTGATCTGGCACCTGACAACCTCAGTTTCTGAGCTCCAAGATTCTAACTCATGGCCAGTGGGTTCATCTTTTTCCATTTTATAACACCTGGTGGGGTCTTGAACTTAGAACTTTGGAAATCACACAAAGATCTGGTTGCAGAGCTAGGGAGGAAAGCAACAATAGGGTAAATGCTATAGGTTACTTAACAATTAACTTAGACCTATATAGAACTAAATATGATGATGTGTAATGCAGATTGATTTTTGTTTAACTACTAATCCCTCCTTACTAGGGATTGGAAAAATCCTCTAGCCAGGGGTGGCTAGAGGCAAGGTCTCAATCCTGGTCCTGGTCTTCGACATCCTCTCCTTGGGTTCCACACTGGTCTTCACCTGAACGTCGTTTTCTGCTGGTAGTAATGTCTCTAGCAGTATGCTGGCTGCAGGGCTCCAAAGACCCCTCTGCATTACCTAAGTCCACTCTCAAGG